CAACGCATTGAGAGCATAGTACAGCTGTGCATACATGCTATCCCAAACATTCTAGTCTGATAAGAAGTGACGGTATGGTCGCCACTGCTGTGTTTGCTGCGATGACCAGCGTCTCCAACCATCCGGTTAAAGAGTCTTTTGGACGCCAAGAGACACCTACTCTACCTAATCCTTTTGTGCATTTCTTTATGCCTCGTCTCCACATCATCTGCTGGCCTCCACGTAGCTTTCTCCAGTCTGCAGCAGCTAGTGCAAATAAGGCGCGCTGCGGTAGGCTACCGTCGGAGCTTATTGAACTGCATTGGATGCGATAGAGTTCATGTTCGACTCATTCCGGACGATTTACCTCTAAGTTACTAACCCACTCACCCCATCCAATTCGGGCTTGGCTACGTAAGCATCAATTGTCGAAAACTTCTAAACGACGGCTGTCTTCCACCCAAAAGTTCAAGGTCTCACAACCGTAAAGCAGAACTGGTCGCACAGTGGCGCAGTATATGCGACTTTCAACTTCAGTTCAGTTTGTACAACCATTAACCATGCACCGTCGTGTGGCAGTTTTGGTTGCTGTCTTTTGGCTGCCCATTCGAATGAAGAAGAAAGGAAAGTTGAAAGTGGAGTCGAACGTAAAATGGAGAAGTTCAGTGGTCTAAGAATGCAAAAAAAATTGAGATGCAAGAACACCACTGTTCACGACACCCAGCCATATCATTCAGTGTATCTAACCATCGGGTAAGATCATCCCGAGGTCCCCAATCAGGGAACCTAGCGAGAACTATGTAACCCAGCCCCCTGGTTAGGGATTTCATACCCTCGTGACATGTCCTAGCTTGGCCAACCTTGACTTTCTTCCACCTATTACTTGCCTCGGCAAACATCGCTGGCCGTGGCAACCTATCTGGTGACATGCGTAACACATGCCCCAACCAACGTAATCTATGGAGGTCGACCACTTGCTCCAGTGGGTGACCGCATTCACCTAAAACTCTACGCCTAACCTCAGCACTGCTCATCCGGCTGCCCCACCAGATTCGTGCAATGATACGTAGACAGCGGTTTTCAAACACCGACAGTCTATCTTCATCCTGCTTCCTTATTGGCCAAGTTTCTGCACCCGTATAGAAAAACTGGCCAAACTGCCGCGGCATACACTGGACCCTTCGCAGACAACCGGATGTCGCGACGGCACCACAGATGTCTCAAGTTAGCAAATACCAACCGGGCCTTCTGTA